CCATACTGCTTTATTTGATCAATAACTGACGGACTACAAAATTTGCAACTTTGTGTAGCATCAACAAGACTAGCTCTACATTCACATAACTTACGAACTACTTCAGGGTAAGAAGGGGTTACACCATATTGTGAATGGTCATCCGTAGGTAGCTCTAATAAACCATAATTAAATGAAATAGGCCTATAATTAACATCTCAAAACACACGTAAACTTTCAAAATGTCTAGTTATGTAGTTTCTATAATCATTATGATTAGCTCTAGATGCTTTATCAATAGTAGGTCCATCGCCCTGATATGCATCTTTTCACATATCAGGCGAATCACATTGAATAGGTAGTTCCATGTATAGAGATAAAATGATATATACTACTATAAGTACAACCATAATGAAAACCTTATGATATTTATAAAGTATGTCTCTAACATTTAATGAACCAAGATTAAATGAACTAACTGTGTTTCTCCTACATAAATTAAATAAAGAAATCCCACTTTGTATGGCTAAAACGGTAATTTGGGGTTTCACCTCTATAAAAACATCTAATTTTTGGGTATTTTCATTGTCAGGTAGTGATGTTTGTTTACTATCAATAGATAGAGCATTTTTCCCTAACTCAAATATAAACCCAATAGTTAACACACTAAAAAATATAAGAACTATCGCTAATCCATAGGCATCGTTACTATAACCACTTACACTATAAGGGTACACTAGTATTATTTCTAAGTCAAATAAAAGAAATAAAAGTCCAAAAATAAAGAACGATATTGAAAATTGTGTTCTATTTTGTCCTAAAAATGAGTGAAACCCACATTCAAAAGCACTATCCTTTTCTTGATAGGGAAAATGTGGGGCCAATAGTAAATTTATAGTTAATAGTAATATAGATAGCACAGGTATAAATATAATGAAAAAAGTAGTACTTGTCATTTAAATATTAAATAATATCAATGCTAATAAATTAGCAACACTTAATCACTCTTGTGGTATGAATATAAACAATGATATTATCATTGTTATTATTGATATAGATAAACTTAAAGAACTAGATAATACTACATTATCTTTTGTTATACCAACTTTTTTGATTATAATATCTTTTTCAGTAATTAATCCTTCCGCAGAAAAGAAACTTAACCTAGTATTTACTATATAATCTGTATTGTATAAGAAAATTTCTTTTATTACTATTAAATAATATACAGCACTTATGACACTAGTTAATATTGCAACTAATGACATAAAAATATAACCATTATCTATGGCTGCACTTAATATCATCTGTTTACCAAAAAATCCTATTAATGGAGGTATTCCTGCAAAAGAGAATAAAGTTATAGCTAAGCTTAGTGATAGTAATGGGTTTATGAAAAAATAACCTCTTAACTGGTCAATTAATTGAATAGGTGAATTGTTTTCATCTTGTAAATTACTACGATTAACTTTAAATCTCTTTAATTTATCATTTTGCACTTCCCTATATGCTTTTATAGATCCATACTCATTATATAATACATTTATAAACACATTTAAGGCTTCTGTATTACTTTTTTTAATAGAATCCGGTCCACCGTTTATAAGCCAGTCTTTCAATATTTTTATATAAAAGTTAGGATCATTATTTATATTAATGTAAAAATATAATGAATAACCTATAGTAATTATAAGAATAAAAGCATTTAAGTTAGAAATAGAATACTGCATTAAATAAAACATAAATGCTTGTGTAGATTCTATTGTATTAATACTTAAGCTTAATAATATAAATCCTACATGTGATATAGTACTAAACGCGTATAATCTCTTTATTCTTGATTGCGTTAACCCTACTATTGTACCTATTACTAAAGATAGTAGAGAGCTAAATAATAAACTCATAGTTCAAGAAAAATCCGTATCAAACATAGATTTACCCGTGTAATGCACTAGCTCTAATAGAAATATAAAAATAGATATTTTTGCTATTATAGCTACAAAAGTTGTAACAATTGTTGGTATAGCATCATAAACATCAGGACTTCAGAAATGGAAAGGAGCAGCTGAAACTTTGAATAAAAATCCTACAGACATAAATAATAAACTTATATGTATATAATAAGATTTATATCAATAAAATAAACTAGTAATGTTATCTTTATTTACATTAGATATGCTAGTTATTATATAAAGGCTATCTAAATTGGTAGTACCTGAGTTTGCATATAATAAACTTGTACTTAAAAGTATAAAACAAGAAGATAACCCTCCTAATAAGAAATACATAAGACTACCTGAGGTAGATGATTCTGAATCTCTATATATAGCAGACAATAAGTATAAACCATAACTTTGTAATTCTATAGATAAAAAAATAGATACTAAATCACTACTAGATATTAAAAAAAGAGAACCTGTTACAATAAATAGTATTATTAAAGAGTATTCTATTATCTTATATTGTTCCCCCATTTTATTAACTATCTCTGTTTCATAATATTGTAAATTAGTAAATAGTAATCTGTAAATGGAGCTATAGTCTTTTAATCAAACTTTTCTAGGGTAAAAAGCAGTTAATAATAATATTACACTACTTATAAATAGTATGAATATTTGGAAAACCGTAGTAATAGATGTAGAATGAAATAAACCCCCAAATATTCCTATACCTTTGTTTAGGAATGTAAAATATAAATTGTTATATGAAATTAACCCGGAAAGGACTAAAATAATAATACTTGCTCTTGAATATAAAATAGATTTATCTCGCCTCAAAGTGATAGAATTAGATAATAATAATAATAATAATGATATAAGAATCACGAGCCAGGAGAGAAATTTGAATTCTCACTATTAATGCATGAAATTAATGTTCTACCAATTGAACTATCCTGGCATATATATATATATATTTAAAGATATTCTATTATATATTTCTATATATGTTATAGGTATATATTTTGTATAATATATAATCTATATTATAGCAATATAATTTGTATATAATATAATATATATATTAGACATTTTGTGTACTATATAATCCATGCTATAGGTGTATATTTTGTATAACATGGATTATATAGATAATAAGTATATTATAAATATACCCAATGGGAGGATACCCTGAATTGAACAGGGAACTTACTGTTCCACATACAGTTGTTCTACCTATTGAACTATATCCACCTTAATTTAAATTAGTATGTTTCTATGTAGGGGTGATTCGAACACCCATAAGTAAATACCAAAAATTTATGACTTACCATTAGTCTACTACATATATAATATACTATAATTATTTTTATTTACTATCCTTTAGAAACATATTTTTTTTTATTTTACTCATCATATTGCTTATTTTATAATATATTTTACATAATATTTATCTTACTTATTATTTACCATACATAATATTTAAATTTTATAACATTTATCTTACAAATAAGTTATATTTTAATATATTTTATACTTTATTTTTTTTTTT